GCGGCGGCCCCGTGGCAGCGTGCCCCAAAAACACAAAGCCACCGCTTTTCTGTCACTTCAGCTGCCCCGTTTATCGGGCCCCGCCACGCTGCCGCCTGGTCTCTGTGGAAGGCGCTGAGGAGCTTCCAGGCGAGTCCCCGTGCGGCTGTGGGGGCGCCTGCCGCGTCCAGACGTAACGCTCAGAAACAGCGTGTCCGGGTCTCAGCTCCTGCTCCGACAGGGGATGGGCTTGAAGGTTTTTTCAGTGTTCTCCATCAGGACAAGGTCGTATCTGCACAGCTGCGGTCTGCATAAAAACAGTCGGCAGGAGCCCAAAGTGAAACATGGGCCTTGTGCCATCCCCCAAGTGAGCCCCCCCTGCAGCGGGCTGGAGGCTTCTGTAAGATAAGTCAGTTCTCAAGACACCTTGCTTGAAGCCCACCTCGCTTTAGGTGGCCTTCAAGCCTTGCTGAGGTCAGGAATACCTCGAGCATATTTTCACCCTGTTCCACATCATCTTTTGCTTTCTCTCATGGGAAAACAACAACAAGAAGCCAACGGAGGTATTGGCTATGGAGGTCATGGCTCCCTTGAAGCCAACCTACGCTTGCATGGCCACCAAAATGGGTGGCCCTTCCCTGCTGCTGATTCCCTAGTGTCAGCGTTAGGGATTGTGTGCCTGCTCTGAGCTGAGACCAGGTGTTAAACTGGCTTAGAGCTAGCCCAGCTGATAACTGGAGGAAACAGTTAGGCTTTCACCTGGGGCCACAGGAACATTAGCCCTGGCACAGGGAAGGCCAAGAGGGCAGGACGTCCCTCCCTGCGGCAGTGACTGATTACTTAACCCCCAGGGGGGAGCAGACAGCCTCTGATGAAATGTTTGAGCGTTTTCATCTGCTTTTTAAGAGATTAAATGTGGGTCTGGGGCTGGAAGTGGCTGTGGAGCTGTGGGATAGGAGAAGGGAAGTGCTAGTGAGGTGGAGCTGCAGAAGGACTTTGCTTATTAGACACATACAATCTTATCCTTATTCTAAGACTAAGGTAAGGGTGGCAGACCTTCCTGAACTGCAAAGAAACAGGTTCTGCAGTTTTGTCCTTTTTTTGCTCTGGCTTTCTCGCTCTGTGATGTGCAATCCTTGTTTTAACCCAAATTTAAAGCACGTATAGCTTGATGTTCACACACTATCCTTGCGCACAAGGTTAACCTAAGGGATTCTGTACTTGCCGAGCTCAAGCAGAGAACCCCTCCTCCAAAGGCGCCCTAAAAATCAGGGAAGTTTAAGGGTAGGACCTTAGAGGAGAGAGGTTAAGAAGGTGACTGAAGCAGCTGTAGAAACCTAAAATGACCAGGTAGGTACCGCATGATGATGTGGGCAGTAGTCAGTGCTTTGGGGCATAGTGGCCAGCAGCTCCCAGTTAATGGAATTCCAGGAGTGAATTCATCTCCTGGTTTGTCTGGACATAGAAATTGACTGGCACATAAAAGCTGTATTTGGGGCTAGACATCTGTATTTCCCCATTTCAGCCCAGAGTTCCGGCCTGGGCAGCTCCTCTGTAGCGACTCAAATGTCATTTTGCTGACCAAAGGTTAAAATGTCAGGCCACGTCAGAGTCAGACCGCTATTACATGTTTTCAGTACAATAAGATAACCTCTGTGTTCCAGTCCAGCTATGGGATTTGTGTGCGTGCACTAACAGCAGAATTTATTCCCGAGGTATGTGTGCAAGAATTATTAAATGTAAAATAAATATAATTCTTCCAGATGAACTCAGCCAGGCCAGGCATCTGGGAGATTCATTTACTTCTGTCCAATTTCCAAGAAATAGTTTGTAAACCTCTGCTTACCTTTCTGGATTTGTGAGTGACCGGAACCTCATTTGGAGAATCCTGAGTTTGAATCTGGGGCCAATGACAGATCCTGTGGAAAATGTCAAGGAAATTCTTTCTACGTTTTCAAAGTCCTCATCGAATCCCATTAGCAAAGTGATTTGGTTGTACCGCTGAAACGCTGCAGCTTCTCTAAAGATAAAGCAGACAAGGTGTCAGAGAGTCACCAAGGGAATAGCGCCGGTTTTAATATTTTCAGTATAATATTAGAAATGGTGCTGGGGAGGAGGACTGAACTAGTGATTAGTTTCTGATTTAGGGGAAATGGGTATGGATTCAGGTCTCCAGGTGTGAACCTGCTCAGCCGCTTTTGCACCCAGTTATTTGGGGTGGGAGCAGGGACACAGAGGTCTGATGCTGTTTGCTCTGCTCCTCACTGCGATTCTGCTTTGAACCCGAGTGGACTAGACCCAAATGGTGCTCATACGGGGCTGGCTGTGCAGACCTGACCACCGACTCATCCGTGGAGCTCGCAGAATAGGTTGCTGTATATAAAAACCTGTTTGTAACAATGCTGTAGGGCTGAGGCAGCTCTACAAATGGAAGACTGTACCTTGTGGGGAGATTAATGCCACTAACTAAATTTCTGATAGTCCTCTTCTGGCAAATGCAGCAGAAGAGTCTGTGATACAATGCAGCGTTGAATTAACGGAGAGGAATCTAGCTTCGCAGGATAGGAAAATAGCACAGGCTTAAAAAAAGACATGAAGCCTCATGGGGCTGGGGTTTGACCTTGGTCCTTTTTGACAGGGTGGCCAGTTCCACTTGGAGATACGCATGAAAACTGCATTGGTCTTGGTGCAAAAGCCACAGAGCTGCTCGAAAGAACACTGTGGCCACGCAATACCTTTATATAGCTGGTTGTATGGCCACCATTTTGGGTTTCCCTTATGAAGGTGAAAAGTGTGGATATGACTGGGAGCGTATCCCAGTTGCAACACTCAAAATGATTGGCCTTGTTTAGAAGTTTTAGGAGGCATGAGAAATAGGACGAGTTTTAACCCGTCAAAGGTGTTTACAATGTGCACGTGTAAGTGTTCTGCCCGGTGGGCTGTCGTGCGTGGGGCAGAGCAGGGTGGTCCGGTTGTGCAGCCCTGGGGAGCTGTGCAGATTGCCCGAGTGCAAGCAGATAGGGCGGAGAGAATATGGGCTTGGGAAAACTAGTTGTGCAGGACTTGTTTGGCTGAAGTGTGTCTAGATCAATCAGGAATTTGCATGTCCACATAAACACCATCATTAATTTGCCTCTCCAAGTGGAATGAATTGATTTGGATGTTACATATTCAGGCCCAGGTTCATCCCATCTGTCTTGGGCACCCGGAGCTGGAACAGAATGCTCCCAGGAAAGGGAAGGAGAGAGGGAGAGGTGTGTTTTCCTCCTGCTTTTGTGAAAGCCTCGGACAGTGGAAGACTCACTGGCAGAGATCGTCCACTTCGGTCCTTAAGATGACTGAGAAGGGCCCAAACCAAAGGGCTGGGCTGCCAGCTGGTGTGTGCTGGGGGAGTCTGGGAAAATCTCACAGGGCCAGGCAAGCCCTGAGGCATATTATGCTATCAAGTGTACCAGCAGAGAAATCAGAGGATACCGTGCCTCCTCCCAGATGCAGTTGTACCGAGTGATTTGCTAACATTACCAATCTGATGATCTGTAAAAACTTACGGGTTAACTTTAGATTCTGCCTTCTTCCCAGCTTTATCAGCTAGTACAACACTGAAGGTGCCTCTTCTGGTGTCTTTGTTCCAGGTAATAATATCCACAAAGTAGTGGTAAACTGAGATGAGAGGGGGAGAGAGGGTGATTAGACTCTGCGGGCTCTGCTTTCCAGCCTCCGTCTTTCTCCCATTTGCTCATCCAACACAGCTTGTTTGACTTATCTCTAAAATCTCTTTCTCCTTCTTTTGCAGAGATTTCTAACAGAAATACTAAGAGATGTCTGGGAAAGCACTACAAGTAGGGCTCACACGTGGCATGCAAGATGGCCTCTCTGCACGCTTTTCACTCCCGCCTTTCCTGTTCATTGTCAGATTGCCTTTTCTTTCTCCTGCCCACCTTTGATCCCTTTCATTTCTGTTCTCATCATCTTTCATTTGTCTTCTCTGTCATGGAGCAGAATCGTCTGCTCTGTGCTCTGATCCGTAACTCACTGGATTTGCTTGCTGGCTGGCACTGGAGCTCAGGCCATAATCCCTGCCCATGGCTTGGTATGTTGGTGATCATGAGGGTGAAACCTTTTTTTCACTGATTCCCCCTTGCCTGAATCCTTTCCCTGTGCCTTTCACTTTTATCCAGGGTAGTTTCTTACCTGTTCAGCTCTGACCGTGTCTTTGACTCTCATCATTCTCTTATTTACACAAAAAGAGCGGTGTGTTGTTTTGAAACACAGGTTAGGAACTGCCCTTTTACGTTTCATTTGCATGTTCTCAACAAATTTCCCAGCACCGTAAGCAAGATGAGCCTGTTCTTGCACATCTCTAGTTGGCTTTCACAGCAGTGGGCAGGTCTGCAGGTAAGGAATGTAATGGCAAGACTGCAGACGGACACAATTCTTTCCAGCCAGCCGCTGGCTTTGTTTCTAAAATGCAGGCTATGATACCAATAGCAGCTAACCATCTCTGCTTGGCTCTTGCTGAAGGGGGCAATGCACAAAGAAAAATCGTCTCAGAAATCTTAGCCACTTACCACAAAACGGCTCTTTGTCCGCTGTATCAAAAAACACACTTGTCACTGGATGGCTCTGTTGTGTTAAATAGTTTTTCCACTTATGGGCATAATAACCTATAGATGACAGTTTGGAAATGAAACAGAGAGTTACTGCACAGGTATATAAGCAACTAAATTGCTGAAAGTAATGAAGCAAGTGTTTAAGAAATAGTATATTGCTTGCCAGCTGCAAGGCAGCACTGCGACACATGCTCCCATCCTCTGTAGGCTCATGCCAGGGCTTAATTGTGTAACTAAAGCCAGAGTGTCTAAATACACCTGGTTACTGTTCAGCACTTATTTTAAGATGGATCTTTTCCCACATTTGATATCCATGGTCAAGAAGGATTTCGTTTTGCAGTGCAGAATGAAAATCATCCCCTTAGCTTTGCAAGTTCACTTCTGGAAGCGTTGGGGTTTCTTAGCATCAATGTTTCAGAAATGGCAAGGCCAAAGCTGGGCTGTCACATCCAGGCTGGGTCAGTTACAGAAAAGCAGAATACCCTTTGTTCACCCCTCTGCCATTCTGTTTAGAGCCAAGAGGGGTTTGTGGTGCTGAGAATTTCATACAAAAGATTCTGTTTTAGCAAGCATGTGCCCCTATCCCTCGAAGTCTGCAACTAACGAACTTTAGTTCATTGTTTTTGTGACTTTAGTGGTAAAGATCCCAAGTCTGGTTTTGGCTTTTCTAGTTCAGGATCCTTTACGTGGGGATTTCAGTTCTAGATCATAAGGTGATGTGACCATACAAAGAACAGGGAAATTTCTCGGGCCTCTTTTGCCTGCAGCAGAGCCTTGTACCTCTGCAGAAGTCAAGGAGAGGCCACCTCAAAAACCTCAATGGAAATAACTTACATGCTTTCGCAAAGCACCGGGGGGAGGTTAGTCCTTTAGCAAAACTTTGGTCACGCACCAAGTCACAGTAACGATGGGCAGCTCTGTCAGACCCGTGTGTTCAGGACATCTTTAAGTTCCCTGGATCCTTACCTAGGACGGGGCATGGCATAGGCCAAAAAGTTTCGCAGCTGGTACATTTGCCGTTCCTGTAATTTCTGTATGAGTCACATGGGTACGCAGTAATATTGCAGCTCTCTCTCAGGGATGACATGAACAGGAAAACAGACCTCTGGTGGTCACATTTGAAATACTGCAATCCTTAATCATATATGGGGAAGAAATAGTTTGTTAGCAATCCTCATGCTTCAGGAAAACGATATTAACACACTTGCAAAAACAGGACACGCCAGCGGACAGTCACACTGACCAGTTTGAACACAACAGATTGTACTGGGGAGCACTGGGCTGTGGCAGAACAGTAAGTGGGTGCTAGCCTCTCCCTCTGAGTACACTTGGCTCTGCCTGTGTCTACTTTACTTTTTTTCTTGTCTTCTTTTGGTTCTAAAAGCATATTTGTTCGTATTGTTACTGCGGTTCCAGAGGATCCAGCTATGGATCCTCCTCCGTCTCGGGTGTTCTCATCTTCCCTCTGAGCTCAGGCCTGACAGCTGGATATTGCTTTTTTTCTTCTGCACATGGCCTTCCATTTTGGTGTAAAAAAACTCTTTGGAAAGACCTAACTAATGAAGTGAGTTGCTGCATGAGCAGCAAAATGAGCAAAGCCTCATTTCCTATGGATTTTTGTTTCAGGCTGGTTTCCTATGTAGATTCTCTTGGGTCTGATAAGGGTTGAGTTCACATTACTGCTTTTTCTTCTGTCAGGTATCTCCTTCACCCAACCCTCATAAAACCAGTTCTGCTGCTGGGCTGTCTTGCAATCAAGACTGGGGCTCTACCTGCCAGACGGCACTGTCAGCACCGAGAAAGGCGCATTGGATTTGGTGTAACTGCCTACCCCACATTCATCTCGAACTTGTTTTCTGAACAGGTTCTTGCCATTGCTAGTCCTTGGGGTTTTGTATGTGTTCTAAGTAATTAAAAAAAAAATTTAAAAATCTCACTGTTTTCTAAACATAGTCATGAAATGCAGGCACAAATCTACCCAATGACTTTTTACAGGGAAAATTAATCCCATTTGCATCTGTGACAGAGAACAGAAGGATCACTCCTGACTCGTATGCCTGCCTGGTGCACATTGGCTAAATTCCTGTTACATCAGTGTGCCGCATCAGTGCTGGGAAGAGATTGCTGTCATGGCTTTCCTGGAATATGGTTTTCATGTATTTTCTAAGCAGTGATGATATTTCCCTGGCCTTTTCCTCTTTTCTGATTGGAAATATTTTGTCAGTGTCCGTGCAATTCAAGGCAGAATTAATTACCAGAAAATATTGTTGGTGGACAGCCAGGCTGGTCGGTCCCGCCGTTGGGGTAGAAGTCTATGTGGCCTAGTGCTTCTGTGTAACCTAGTCCTGACAAAAGAAAGTATCAGAGGTGCGGGGAGGGAATATTAAGTTGTAAAATGCAGAAGAAGGAAACATGAGAAACTCACTGGAAAAAATAGCTCTAGCTTGCCTGCCTGTGCAGGAATATTAATGTCATTCATCTATTTAGGCAGCAGGCCAAATGGTTGTGACCCAGCTGTGTCATTTTAGCAATGGTATCAAATAGCTAGAATAAGTCTGTGCGTGTGTCGGTACAAAAATTGGCTTTTTGTATCGCTGCATGCGGGAGAGGAAAAGGGATGCATTGCTGTGCTGCTGAAGTCTGAGTTCTCGGAGGGACTGGGAGAAGACGAGGGGCAGCAATGAGGTCAGAAAGCCAAATGCTGGGGGTAGGACGCTGGTGGGAGCAGAGCGGAGGGCTTGCTGGCCCGGCTGGTGGATGGGAAGCCATGCTGTGCACTGTCTGGGAAAGGAGGGGGCCAAGGGGGATTCCTGATTCACCTAGAGGAAGGTTTAGCCCACGGGAGGTGGGATGAAGAGTGGAAGCATCATGCAGGGAGCCACGGGGGCTGGGGATAGCGGATCCACTGTGCAAGGCGTGGAGCTGCGTGGCTAGCTTCGGAGGTGCTGCGTGCGTGGCTGCAGCCTGACCCCGCAGTGCGGCGTTAGGTGGAACTGCTCTGGCAGGACTGCATGCTGCGCTAAGCCTAAAGTCCTTGTACTTCACGGGCCACTAGAACGGCAGCATGTTTTGAAATGCAGATAAACCAGTAGCTCCCAAGGGAGGGCAATGCAGGACCACAGAGCCCTTCACGGCACCGGGTAAGGAGACTGCTGTCCTCCTGGGCCACAGGAGTGAGGATCCCCCAGCACTGCCACCTACCAGAGCCCCCGCTTTCCTGTGCTCCCCATCAGTCTCTAGCTTGCCTCATGCTGGTGAAGAGGAGAAATGTCACATACCATCAGTGTCCGAGTGAATGACATCAACAAACTGTGCATCTGTAGGGTCCAGCCTCTCGCTAGGTGGCTTTCCTCTGTACAAGGGGCCTGCTGGGTCAAGGCCTGTGACATAAAACCATGAGTGTGGCATCACTTCAGCTCCACTCAAGGTGAACATCTATCCTCAAAGCCAGAGGACTGGCAGGAAGAAGGGCTTACCTGTGATTCTTCCAAGGGTACCATCAAACATCTGTCCCACAAAGCCAGAGATGTGCGCTCCCAGGCTCACTCCGATCATGTGCAAGGAGTCAAGGGATGCTCCATCAACCTGAGATTTAAAAATATTCGTGGTTACAGATTAGAGGTACACAAAAGGCATAAAAAATATCAGGAGGAGGAATGTAAATGCATCTCCCTGCTTTTCCCACATTTTCCCCTGGTGTGTTCCCCTTCGATTATCCCATGGTACAACTGGCACTCACGTTGAAGGCCCGTATCTGAGAGCACTGCGATGAGAACAGTTCAGGCAGTGGTTGTATTTTATTGTGGCAGTGACTGCAAGTGAGGACAGGGATGAGTATCCATGGGCCCCATGGGTACGAATCCAGCTGCCCACGTGTGGTTGCTGCAAGGCATTAGCAGACACGATGATCCTAGTGATCCAGTGTCATCATTGACTGTGCCTGGGCAGCAGCTTAGAGGAGCTGTAGCTGATCCCCATAAGCCGACTTTAGGACAGCAGAAAGTGGAAGTAGCATTTCTATGCGTGGGAAAACATATCTGTAGAGTTTTGTATCCAGAAATGTAGATATTTAGAATGTAAACTGAATATTGCAACAAAATACCATCATATCAAGTCCAAGGGTATAATTTGACACTGCAGTATAGCCGCACTTCCAAAAATGAATGCGTTCCTTTTTAGGAGTTTCTTTACCCAGACACCCTGCTGTGTTTAAAGAGTTCCTTTGCGCCCTTTACATACCGTGCATTAATGACTATATCATAGCGTGAACATTCAACTCACCAACATTTCATCGATAAGTTTCTTCAGAATCTCAGCAACTTTCTTGCAGTTTCTGGCAGCATTACTGTAGATGAGGGTTGTTGCCCCCTGGTTCCAGTCAACAAGGATGACGTTCATGTCTTCTGCAGAAAGCAGGAGGCGTACCAAGTCAGGGATCCAGACCGGAGTAGAGCCTGTGAGTCGGTATCCGTGGATGATGAAGGTGGTTTTCTTGGTCACATCTAGATACTGGGAGGCTGCAGAATCAAGCTCCTCAGCACAGTTTGGGTTCTGCCTGGTATAGAGCAGCAGCTTCACTTTCAGGTCTGTTCCTATCAAAGCGTCGCCGAAGCTGAGAGCTGTGAATGCAGGGCATGTCTCCCGGGGATCTGAAAAGAGCACAGCGTGGCAAGCCTGCGGTTAGCACTGGTGCGTTTGCTTTGACCTTTTCTACCTGCCAGCCCTGTGCAGTCACAGGTATGTGTGTTGTCAGCTGTCTGAGCCGGGGCTGCTCCTTTCCTCTCCATCATGTTCATGAGTGGAGTTACCCTGAAACTTGGGTTTTCTTGCCATGTTAGAACAAAGACAGCAAGCGTACCTTCTTGGAGCAGCATTCCCTGAACCAGCACAGTCCTGCTTCCGCTAGCAGCTGGGAGATAGCATGGAATTTCTCAAAGAATCCCACTAGTGCGAGGACAGTAACAGAGACTGACAACTAGGATGGTTGCTGTATTGGTTTGAGCACACCCAGGTGCTCTGGACAGGTTCTAGGGTAAAGAGAGACCCTCGTGGTTTGTTTGTAAGTCCAGTCTGGAGCTGACAAGGTGTAGAAGATCTTGCTGTTGTGAGGGGCAGCTCAATGCTTCATTTGTGTTTGCAGATGCAGCCTGCTATTTCAGACTGTGAAATGGGGCACCCTTTGACTGCATGAGATATGTTACTGATAATGCTTTATACACAGCTGAAGAATAACTGAATTTTATGTAAGTGCTGCTTTACAAGACAGTCTCTGCCATTTGAAAGCCTGTCTTTGTTCCTTGCTTTTTCAGCAGAACACCAGCTGAGCCTTCAGGGTCCAATACAATCTCCAACAGGGCACTGGCAGGGAATGGAACAACTGTCTCCAGACAGACATTGCTTACGAAGGCCCTCCCAGGTTTCACAGCCTTTTCCTGGCTTGCAATCCTTTTCCTCAAATCCCCTTAATGTTATTGAAGGACCCTGTGGGAGAAAGCGTCTCTCACACATATGCCCTGGGCTGCAATAATTGTTCAGGCTGCAGTTGCTAGAGAAATCTTCCCGATCGTTGTTGGGCTGTGCAGTAGGTAGAAGGGTTTAGAAAACCTGCAGCTGTAAGCTAATTGTGCTCTAGCAAATCTCCAATTCTCTGTGCATTTTAATTTCTAAATGATGAAACTCTCAAAGTTTCTATGAACAACTTTCCCTTTTCTCCTACGGAAATCAGGAGCATGAGAGTGATATAAATGCTATGCACCCAGCACATAAAATAATCTGTTCAGTTACCATAGTTCTGCTAATTACTTTGTAGAAGCCCCAGGAGCTCCAGAAATAAAAGTTAATAGGCTAAAAGGATGTTGCAGTTAAGTCCAACTGGATATTTTAAATTGCTTCAGAAATAAACTTTTAACATTTGAAATCCACGGAGTCCTTCCTGTATAAGGCCTATGGTAAAATAGGAATAGCGGGACAGGAGTGGTGGAAAATGAGCCCTTGGTCAGGCCTGGTGAACACTGGTTGAAATCAGTGGCCTTTGAATTGAGGGTGTTCGGCTTCAGTCGGGGCTCCCAGGGACAGCGTGACTCTGGGCCCTGCTTGCAAGAATGAAGGTGACCTGCGTGGTTGTCTCCTGACCACCTTGCTCTCGCCTCGTTCTTACAGTGCCAAGATGCTCCCGAGAAACAAGCAGCAAAGAGTTCTCCTGTGACACCGCTCGTGTGGAGATCTCAAAGTGACTAGCAGAGAAAAGTTACCAATTTTTGCTGATACGTGCCAGCATACACAGTGATACTCAACAACTGACCTCTAGGTGCTACTGCAACATAAAAAAAAGTATTTTTTTTACTAATAACTAGAAATTGTTTTAGTTATTACATAGTATTATTATATAGTATTGTTAACCATCTTTACTGCCACTGAAACTGTAGAAAAACAGGCAGAAATGCCGGGCAAGAATTACTTCTATATGGTGCAAGATTGCACCGATTGCTTAATTTGTTCCTATGTCTCCTGCATTGTGCTGAGACTTGCCCAGAGGAGCCCTATGTTTGTCACCAGAACAGCCCAAACCTTCTGGTAAAGAAGAGTTGATGCTGATTGGCATTTGTAATTGAATTGTTTAAAAAGCCTTGTTATATCTGCACCAAGTCTGTTAGATTTGCTGTTTTGATCAACAAAATCAGATCAGTGCTAATAGCAGGGGAGAACCTGCCAGCTTCTCTTCTGGCAGGCTGGTATGTGTCCCAGACTTATCCACCACGTGTTACAAAAACTGACACGTGAGGACAGCCGGTTACCCTGCCTTTGCTCTTCGTTCTGATAAGCACGGCAAATCCTACCCAAATGGCTGGAGTTGAAACTCCAACAAGATTTCTCTGATGGGACCAGAAGCTTATTGAGATTAACTCTGCAAGCAAGTAAGTGAGGTGGAAACTCACGGCCTGGCACTGGACTTAACCCATGTCCAACAGACCACTTCCCTCCAGGAAAGGTGAGTAAGCATGGCAATTAACCCAGTGTCCCATTAATTTGCTCCCAGCCCTGTCTTGGCCATTAGGTTGCTGAACAGCCTCAGGCAGTTCACTTGTCTCCCTCTGCTCAGTTTTCTGATATGTAAAATAGGCCGTCAAACAGCAGTTTCCTGGGCAAGGTGCTCTGACAGCTGACAACCAATCTCTTAAACTGGTGTTCCTATGTGGGAGGTGAGCATCTTTTGTCTCGAGCTTGAGATCAGCCTCTGAGGCATTATTGCAGCAGGAGGGGCACCTCCAGAATGACTCGGTTCTGAAGTTACCTATGTGTCTATATATATTCTGAAGTGACATGCTCCCAGGTGGGAGCATTGTGGTCATGAGAATGGGCCCAGGCAGACTTCGTGGTATTTACTGAAGTCAGTGCTACTTAAGACCTGCATTCTCCTGGTCTCTCTCATTCCTTTCTTGGAGGTGGTGTTTGGAGGCTTTATCTTCCTTCTGTCCTGGATGTTCATCCTATAGACTGTCAGGGTTTGCAATAGTGACGTTTTGGGACTGTGATCTTGAGTCTGCCTGCATGAATTGAATAGCAGATGAGTTTTTTAACTCCGCCAGTCTGTCCCCTTGCAAAGTGAAGTTCCAAGGGACTTTCACTTCAGGGGGTGAGTGGTCACTTGGTCAGATTTGTGGTTGTCCTAGCTGTGGTCCTTGGGGGACTGCATTGCCACACGGAGCCTGCAAAGGGGGCTGCTCACCCAGTCAATGCCTTGCATGCACCTCAGATAAAAGCGTTGGCTGCTTCTGCATCTGTCTGCAGTTTCACTGACACTCAGAACACTGTCACCTTGCCCAGGCTTTTTACAGTGTGTTTCAACAGACTGGTCCTATGCATCAATAATGAAGTCTTCAGCTTTAAGCACACTTTGCTTCCACACAGCAAATCTCAATAGCGTTATTGAAGAATTCCATCACTTTTCCAGAGAGAGAGTGTGCCCTCTACCTCTTAAAATCATCCTCAGTATCTCACTGGGTTTCCTTGGTGCCTTTTCACACAATTCTCTTTTTCCATTTATTGTTACTACATTTCCTGCAGCATATTTAACAAACTAAGCAAAACATGACCCCAAGATTCCTCCAGAGAACCTGATGAAATACATGTTAGTATTTATAAGAATACTGTTTTGCTTTTTTTTAATTCCTGTTTGTTTTCCTTACAAAGCAGAGAGCTTGACTTGCTCCCATGTGTATGCTAACACAAGGCAGTACATTTGTTTATTGTTACACAGGTTGATGCTTGATAGGGCTGTGAGGCTATCAAATGAAGCTTATTGTTCATAAATGGCAATTCATCCTTTGAATCTGTCATAGAAGACACTGCTGAAAAGAAATCATTCTTCTCTGAAGATTTCAAATGACATTTTCAGTGTCGATGGATAGTACTTATGTAAGAGAAATGTTTGCAAATTGAGGAAAAGATAATAAAAATGACTTCTGATTTTACCTTTGGAACGCTTAGAGCTGACTACATTCATGTAACTAGTATAATTTGCTTTGCCAAAATAAATAATGCTAGTGAAAAACCCTACACAGTAACTATAATGCAGAGGGTGGATACATTCATGTTTCTGCAAAGCACAGAAAGAATGTTGTATCTGACAAAAACATTCAAAACACAGGGCTAATTTCTTACCTGTTTTCACCCCATACAAAAGGCAGATGAACATGATGCACAGCCTCAGCATATGGACTTCCACATGAAACTTCAACGGGTAAAAGGTTTTAAGGATCCCACAGTTTCTTTGGTATGTGCCTGCTGTCTCTGACAGCAGTTTGCTCTCTTTTTCTTCCCGTAACAGTAGGTGTGGTGAAAGGAGGAAGTTACCAGACAAGAAATTAAGACCAGTCTTCAGTTATACAACTAAAGCTTCTTCTTAAAAAGGTGGGGCATCTATTCTACCAGGTTTCCTTATTTTAAATATAGTTTGCCCTGGGGAATGACTAATCAAAGATACAAATGGTTTGGTATCACACTGTAAGCAGCAGTTTGACTACATGTGTTGAAACTAAGGAAATTATTGCACATCTGTTTGTCTTTTGCAAAGAATGTCAAAAGGCAGCAAAGAATGTCGGGTGTCACTGCAAGTCTGATAAGGATCTGGGCTGGGCCAGCACTTGGTTTCACAGGGCCCTAGGCTGGTAGCATTCGTGATGATCCCTGCTGTCACATGTCCCTCTGGCTTTCCTGAGGGCTGTGGCCCAGCATCCCTTCTGTCATCTCAGGCAGGAGGCAGATGTCACAACATCGTGACAAAGGGAAGGTGCATTGGGTTTGGCGTGGCAAGGTTCTGGTAGCGTGGGGGGCTACAGGCGTGGCTTCTGCGAGAAGTTGCCAGAAGCTTCCCCAGTGTCCGATAGAGCCAGTGCCAGTTGGCTCCAAGATGGACTCGCCGCTGGCTAAGGCTGAGCCCATCAGCGACGGGGGTGATAATGTATTTAAGAAGGAGGAAAAAAACCCGTGCAACCGCAGCCAGAGAGAGGAGTGAGGATATGTGAGAGGAACAGCCCTGCAGACACCAAGGTCCATGCAGAAGGCGTAAGAGAGCGTGAGAGAGGGCAGCGGAAGAGAGAATAGGGATGGCTGCTGGAGAGAAGCTGTCTGGTAGCTTTGCCTAATGTTTTCTTCGCAAATTCTTCTAACGTAGGCCCAGGAAAGGGAACATGGGGAGGATCAGAAATGCCTCATTACGCACAGGCTCTGTTTTTTTCCCCCTGGTGGTTATCCAATGAGGAGCTGAACTATTAAGAGTTACCAGCTGCATAGCTGTTTCTTTGGTCCATGCCACACATACCAAGCTTTTTGACTTTGCTAATTCTTGGGTTAATCCTTAACTCTGCCTGCTGGTGGGTCTGCAGCTCCTTCTTGTTCAGACAAGTGCACGCTGCTTGTCTGGCACAGGCAGGGCTTACACCTCAGACAGAGGAGCGCACCCAGCAACACATGTGTTTTTTTTTCATAAGCACCTTGAGCTCTCCATCCTCATGCAGCTCAGCAGTCACAGTCTCACAGGACGTGTGCTGTGCTGTGATGCCATTTGGTAGTCACACAGGCAAAAGTTTGGTTTTTTGTTACTTTGAAGAGGATAAACATTGAGAAAAGACACCAAAAAACTTCTGTGGAGTCTGGAAGCTGCAAGCTCCAGGGAAGTGCTTTTTTTGATGCCCTGGCAAAAGAAAATCCTCTGAAACATTGTTTTCCTTCCAGTTCCGTTCTCACCTCTACCAGTACTCCTCAAGCCTGTCAAAATATTTTCTCCTTCGCAAGTTCTGCCAATGGTGTGAAGGAATCGGTCCAACAGTGAAACATGCAAGATGAACAGAAGGCTTTTACCTATTGCAAAAGGCATTTGAAAACCAGATATAAAATGAGAGAAATCAAGAGGGCCTTGTCTTTCTTCTCAGCGCAAAAAGAGGTAACAATTTATTGCCTGAAGCTAAGCCCTGCTTGTTTCTTTTTCCCCATCACTTTCCTCAGATTTCCATTTCTCATCTGACATGGCTCATCCAAGTGGCTATCAGTTCAACGGGTGGTATGCTGGCACTGGCAGGCTCTTCCCTGTAACCCTCTATCATCCCTCAACAGGCAACGATTTTGAGTAACCACCATTTTAGCATGAATTAGACTGTCTGTTTACAGTACGAGTATTGGCAAAGGTACCCAGGATGTCAGTGCTGGAAATGCTGTCCAACCGCTACCACCAAATCCTGAGATGAGTTCAAATAACCACCTGTGTTTTACAGATCACCCGAATCCGACTGACCAGTCCTTCATGCCTGCCCCGCACAACCTTCCTCAGCCACACACTAGTTAAAGATGGTAACAACTGAGGGGTGTTTTTTGTACACTGAACTCTAAACACAGAATGCACAGGAATAATTCTTGGGGCGTGAGCCTTCAGAGTCAGAAATGATGTCACCGTGAGCTTTGAAATCAGTAACAACTCAAGACAATAAAACCTACTTCTTTTATCACATGTAGAAAACGTTTAAGATCAGAATTGGCACCAACTTATGAACAATTTAACAGAAGATATGAAATAATTTTACATAAGAGAAACATTCTGATACTAGCTCTGAGGTGTCAGATAGCCATTGTTATTTCACACTTGTTATAGAAGCATTTGAAACTCTGTTTGGTCACTGTGAGTAGAACCATTGTTTGAATCCCAGCCTTTTTCAGAAACGTTGTTTCCTCCTTATGACAGCGATGGTCAGCTGAAAAATATTTTTTATATTGCAGTCCGGCATCTACTGCATGAGTTCTCACCGATTCACTAGTTTCCCGTGGGTGGAACGTTTTCATGGAGGTACTGGAGAGCCAAATCTGTCCACTTCATTTCTTGCTCTTTCACAGACTCGGTTGTGCCACCGTTGTCTTGCTCTGGTTCGGGAAGCTCATTCTGAGAACAAAACATAGGTACGATTTGTTCCCCACATAACATGCTTCCTGAAAGGAGCAGGTTACTGAGACTTCATACAGATAAATACAAAAATCCACAAATGAGACCAGAGGGTGCAGCTGAACAATACATATCATACATACTGATCCACTTAAAAATACTGAGCCCAGTTATGAACAATGTTCTTCTCACATGATTATGGTGCTTCATCTGAAAGGTAAATTGGTTTCCTGGGATCCTGGGGCTTTGCTATACACTCAGACTGTACACGCAGTGAAGAAGGAGAATATATAGCAAATGCAAAATAAGTAAATAATACTACGACGTAATTATTCCATTGCTTGTTTGCAATGTGTTTCTTTTGCTGTTGCCAAGAATACAGATACTGCATTTATTACAGCTGGTATTAAGACAAAAGTAACATGTGACTTTCCTGCAGCAGGTGAGAAATCCTTCCCCTTTCTATACGCTGAACACAGGTCTGGCTGTGCTATATCAACAGCAGACGTCAGAAACCCCTGCCGGGTGCAGCACAGAGCTGCTCATGACACAGTAAGGAGGAAGTATAGTTCAACTGAGATTTCATTTTCCTTCCTTATATTATTTGTTCTCTGTGTTGCTGTAGTGCTGCAGTCACACACAGTGTGTGTTATTCTGCCAGATACCATTTGGGCAAGAATTCCGAGTTCTAGATCTCTGGAAATCCCAGCATGAGCGAAATAAAATTTTTCAGTTTTGAGAACAAGCGTATGATTCAAGCCCCTTTGAGTTCACGGGAATCTCTCGAGTGAGCACTGGATCAGATGCTCAGGACAGGCTCAAAGACCGCTTTACAGCCATCCTGTTTGCTCCTTTACAATGCCGCCGAGTAAGTCTCCTGTGAATTTGTGCTGGTTTTTGGTTTTTTTTTTCTACATGATCAGAGCCAATTCCATCCCTGGGGATCTTTAATATGCACAGCCAGGCCTGTTAGTTGATGAGGCTGCTCTGAGGCTGCCACCTGTATCTGACTGTAAGCAGCTCAAGAGTTGGCTGTAAGGAATGAAACAGTAATGTTTGGACACAGGGTGAAGGCAAATGTCAGCAAGGAACTAGTTTATAACATTCGGCCTGCCTAATAAAGGTTATCCCGAGCAAAGGGGGGGTTGGGCTCTTGTAGCTGAGAATCACAGTTCTGCAAGATCACTCCCTCAAGCCCAAATCTTGGCAGGAAAACCCACGTGCTGTATATATGGATTTTGGAGGTGTGTAGCTGCTCCTTGCCCTCTCTGAAAAGACAGCGGTGTAAGGGCTAAAGCTTGAGCCGCGTCACTAGCGATTTGGAAATGTCCCTGTGCTGAAAGAAACTAGCAGCCTATCAATGCCCATGATCTTAGCATGACCGCTTTGTCAGTGCTAGCCAGGGCAAAGCTTGCGTACCAGAGAGAACAGGGAAAGGGAAAATCCTCAGACACCTCTCACTTCCCTGGTAGTTCCCAAATGGCTACGGAAGACATCAGAGGGGCATCTGAAGCTTCCACTCGGGGATTTGTGAGATCAGAGGTAGCTTTTCCCCAGCTGGATCTCTGGCCTCACAGCTCCACAACAACCTGCATGCTGCCTGAACAGGTAACTGCCATGCGTTGGATGCAGTGCTGCAAGCACGAGTCCCAGCACAGATGCCCGTTTGTTATCCTTGAACTGGCAACAGCAACAGTATATTTGGAAAAGGCTGATTAGGAAGGCATTTGAAAAATTTTCAGCTTCTTTTAATGGAATTTCAGAAAGTGGAAATAAAGCGTAACCAAGACTGCAATGGTCAGCATGAGGCTGATCCTCTCTGTTCTACAAACCAACTGGGAAACCACCTAAACCACTTGTAACATGAAGGGGGAGCACAGAGGAAGGACGAATCTACTCCCTGATGCCCAACCCAGAACTGTACACTGGGAAGGGCACCCCAGTTCTGAGGAGATATGGCAACTAGGTAGGGGATGGGGGAGAGAAACATGCCCTTGTCTGCACGCAGGAATGACTGGCATGCAGGACAGAAAAACAGCAAGTCAGATCCATCCCGGGAACCTTCAGTACAAATAAGCTGCACCCCAAGCAATACTCTCTGTGCCGTTTCTTGGAAGGGGCTGTGGTAAACACACCGGTCTTAATGCAGATCGATAAGTAGCAATTCACCTACCAGAGGGATAGCCACATCCTCATACGGCAATTTATCTTCCCTCCATGCGTCATCGATCAAATCCAGGATTCGGCCGTCCCTTTGCACTTCACTGTCCATCGTTGTAGCAGGCAAGTACAGCTAAATCTGTGACACGAAGCAGATGCTATTTCTAACATCCACATCCCCAGCCATGCAGCTGGAGTTTGGACTACAGGCTTGCTCCAGTTTTGATCCAAATATTATGCAATTATCAAGCCTAAACTTTTATGGAAAACCTCAGTTTTCCTAATCCATTCAAAAAAGGGTCGTAACTACAGGAGAACTACTTAATCTGAAAAGAACACTGTCAAACAGAATTGCAAGATTGATGAATATATAATACTAGCTTGTTGTTATTAATTATAGACATTTACATGTGTTTATCGTGACTGAGCTTTAGAGGTCTCTTTCAAGTGAGCTTGAGGACCGTCTTGAGCTCTCCAGTCCCCTCTAACTGCACAGAACTGCTGCTATTTGCTTGCTGCCCACTCGCTTTTGGTCCCCTACGAGTGCTGTAACTCACCCGTGCCTTCGCAGGTCCAGGAGAGAGCCAGAACAAAGGATTTGATGGCAGGCAAAACATTGCCAAAACCTGGAGCCTGGTCAACTGGTAAAACTTAAGTGTGGGAAACTGGTAAAACGGGAGAAAAATAAGACCCGTCCTCCACCCTCAGCTACCCTAGTCATTCCAGGGGTTTCTTGTGTCCGTTTGACTGGGGCATTGGCCCTGCTGGAAATGTCACCTCAGGACTCACCCCTGCCTGAGGCCTGCCGGACAGCAGCCCGAGCAGGCAGCTCCAGCGCTGGGAACC